TGAAAAATTCAAATAAGGAATTTGGTTATCTTTGCGTGGTTCGTTTCGGGAGTAACTTTTTGGCGACTGAAATTCAAAGGGCAAAACTTAGAATAGTAATGCATCAATTCCACCTTCGGCTGCTTGTTCCTGTTGTTGAGTAATTAGAATTCGAATTTAATCACCTTGGAATAATAATTTTGACAAAACAAGAAACACCTCTTCACAATCAACAAACCTTGACAAACATTTCAAAGTAAGAGTAAATGATCGTGACAGCTAGCAGTATACCGGTACCGGATCCAAGTGCCCCTGTAAATAAGATAAAACTCTAAGTACAACTTCTTCTAGGAAAAACGGCAAAAAAAAAAAAAAAAAACAAAATCATCGAATTCTTACCAAGTAAATCTGCAAGAACCGATAAAGCCCCAATACAGGCACCACCAAACGCAGCTGCAGTCGGAATAATACGCTTCAATTCCTTATATGTCGAAACCTCTCGGTGACCGGCCATGACCATGCCTTGCTCCTTGAGTTGCCTGGCGACTTCACGTGGTGAGGAACCTGATACTTCAATCCAAGTCTTTGAGAAAAGGGCGCATGCGGTCAGCATAAATGCGATGTATATGACCGTGTGAATTGGGTCCAATAAGGCGTCGGTGATATTGTGCGGTGGCGACATGTAGTAAGAAAGACCGCCTGATGCGAACAGCTGCGATGAACCTTCGTATGGCTAACATAGATAGATACGAATATAATGGTAACTTTTAATAAAAATCAAACGGTGACTATTGTAGCTATGAATGTCGCGTGACCATGTGATACGTACGCTCCAAACACCAAGAAGGCGGACAAGGAAGTTATCCGGGAATCGGTTGTACAACATTTGCGAGATCAAGAAGACATTTGTGGTAAGAGCGGACTGAAGCATAATTGGCATGTTTGATGTATAGAAGAGTTTAACTGGGTACGTGCTACGTTGGCCACGAAAACGATTAGATCGGACGGGGAGTTCAACACGGAAACCCTGAAGGTAAATGACGACAGCGAAAACTGCTACAGTTGCTAAGAGGTTCATGACATTGGGTAAGTTGGTTCTATAGAATGACTCCTTCAATGCGCGGGTCTTATTGCTGTAGGTGATGAGTGAGTAAAATAGGGAGATGAAGGCGCCTTCGAATTCAGGACCTCGTCCAGCATTAACGGTGGTTGGACTGAACGCTTTCCAAATGATGGATTCGCAGATGTTGGTAGCGATGAAAAGAGAAATACCAGATCCCAAACCATACCCTTTTTGTAGGAGTTCGTCCAGAAGCATAGAGATGAGACCAGCAACGACAAGTTGGATGATGAGTAGTAAGCAGACACCAGCTCCAATTTCGGATGGATCGCCATACAATCCAGTCATTACAGATACGGTGGCTTGACCAAAAGCAAAGACCATGGCGAAGAGTTTTTGCGCACCGCTGAATAAAGCCCTGTCTTCCTTTAAGCTAAAATCGACCTCGATGAGGTTGGCACCAGCCAAGAGTTGCATGATCATGCCCGAAGTAACAATGGGTGTGATGCCGAGTTCCATTAGGGTACCTCTGTTTGAAGCAAGAATTACACGCAGCCAATAAAGAGGATCGGAGGAGTCGGAAGACATGATACCGTAGAGTGGAATTTGTGAGCACACAAGAAAGATAAGGAGTGTGACGGCTGTCCACAACACTTTTTGACGGAAAGGAACCTAATAAAAAAAACGACATTCTAGCGTCAATTACGAATTTTGGTTGCGAACATGGCTGTTGT